AAGTGTTGATTGCTGTGGAAACAGAAGACTGACACAGAGAATTGGTCGAGCAGCTCTTACTGTGACAGGGGACTGCAGATGCGACTCAGAAGACAGTGGCGACAATTGTTTCAGCAAGGCGAGGCCCAACCTTTGGAGGTGCGCCGAGGGCGGTGCGCGCATGCGTGCGTGCTTGCTTGCCCACATGACCTTTGTCCGCCTAGAAGCCCGATCAGCGAATGACACAACGCCGATTGGCGTCAAGCTGTCTCCACGACGTGGCCTTGTCACGTGCGTTGCAAGCAGAATCCAATTGGCAGGAAGTGTTATTTAGGCTGCCAGAGGACGTCAGGAGAGAATAATCAGACTGGCGACCAGGAGAACGGACTGACACAGGCACACAAGTTCGCCTCAACCGCTGACTGTCCTACCACACAACATCCCGCCGCCACCGTCACCGTCTCAGGACATGTTAGTTATCAGTTAAACGGTCTTCTTACTCAATGCAGGTATGGGTTGGACGAATGGCATTAAATAGAAGCAACTGGCTGAGCGCCAGCCAGGTGCCAGGGACTGCCCCAAATCCCACCTTTCGCCTCGACCGATCGTAGCCCTAGGCGGCAGCCCAGTCAGCCGGATGACTCGCAAACCACATCTTCATTCAGGTGCATCTGCGACGTCAGTTAAATCGGCATCTCAACTCCTCACTAATTCCCGCGAGCAAAAGTGGAGCTTCACGAGGCGATACCTTTCGTCGACCTGACACTGCTCTTAGCACCCATCTCACCGGATTTGGTGTACAAGGCTATGCGGTGAAGTATGCATTGAAGTATGGTAAATCACGGGCATGTCTTTACTGATATTGTCATCAACATATTTTCTGCCCCACAGAAGCAGGTGAGGGAGTAAACACACATAGAGGTTGTCTGGCCTGGCAGTTTGTCCTTGTCCTCTCCGTATATGATGGGACTAGTAGAGAAGAGTACAGGGGCGTCGACTGCCGGTAAGGTGTGTGATATAGATTGAGTTAGGCGCCTTGTTAAAAGTTCACTTGGCGCGTCCCCTTGAAACGGCACCCTTAGGAAAAGCTTATTTTTGTCTGCCGTCAGCCTCGAGGGTTTTGGTAGTCTTTCGGTCACGTACCTAGCAATGAATACATCGAGGTACCCGTTCTGGCGAATGCGAATTTCAACAAGCTTAAGTTCCACCTCAATGCTATCAGCTGAGCAGATCCTCCTTACTCTTTGTGTCAAGCAGCGCCTTATGTTTAATGGAACGAACCTCCTATAATTCTTGTTATGTCCGGACCACGTCTTCTTACGATAGACGCGACGTCGAATACTACCTGCAGGCCTTCTGCTCAAAAGCACATACAGAAAGAGGAGCGATCTGGACTGTTTTCCTTCAAGCGTGAATCTGATTGATGGGTGTGCTTGATTGATTTCGTTCCGTGGGACTCAAACGTCGTTTTGTTTAGGTGCAATCGCGAATCTATCATGCACATAGCGTTCATACTATCTCAGACCATCGATCTGCAGACGAAATTCGAAAGCTTCTAACTTGCCCATGAACATATTCGCCAAAAGCTACCCCGTCGATTTGTCTATACGGATTGTTGTCAAATAGAAGCCGTACTTTGAAGGTACATCCCAGCAGCAATTCTTTGAGAGCATTTACCGCATTCCTATATCATGATTATTGGAGGCAAGGGCTTCACAGAGGTAGTTGACGATTTCTGTGACCGGTACGTTCGTACAAAGAGACGAGACGTCCAGCGAAATCATAATCTTTCGGTTAAAGTCGAGATTTTTCATGCTGTAGACGAATTCATAGGTATACCGAAAGCTACAGTACATGTGCTAACTCATGTTATGCTAGCCGGTATTGTATGGGCTTTAGTTTCTCCGCTAGCCACATCGCGGCGAGTTTTTCATGTCTAGAATCGGTGTACCATGTACGTGGATCTTTGTCAAGCCATATAACTGAGGTATATGCGTGCCGACAGGCGGGAGACGCTCTAGGTCGTATTCGCTAATGAAACCATTCGTTTGAAGTCTTTTCAAACAGTCGGTCGGCAGAGTTTCAACCTCATCTTTTCGATCATTTTGGTTTTCTGCCTTTCGGAAATGTTCCTGCACTGCGCCCGATCCCACCTCCGGTCATCTGGACATTGTCTTTCCATCGGAGCCAGGTGGGTGTGCGAGGGAGGGAGGGAGTGGGGTAGATGTTGCGCAGGTCTGCCTGCTCCCACAATGCAGTCTGTGGGGCACACGTTGGACATAGTCGAAATCGACGGTCGAACTGTCGTGGTGGTATGGTATCACCGGACTCGCATCACGACATCCGTTCACCTGAGCGCCACTTCGAGGGCGGTGCGTACGTGCTTGCGTGCGTGCGTGCACACATGACCTTTGTCCGCCTACAATACCGACCAGAAAATGACACAACGTCGATTAGCGTTAAGCTGTCTCCACAACTTGGCCAAGTCACGTGTGTTGCAAACAGCATCCCATTGGCAGGAGGTGTTACTTAGGCTGACAGACGGCGTCAACAGAGAAAAACCAGACAGTCGACCAGGAGAACGAACTGCCACAGGCACACAATCTCGCCTCAACCGCTGATTGTCCTACCACACAACATCTCCGCTACAGCCACCGCCACCGTAGCAGGACAGGTTAGTTATCAGTCAGTTAAACGGTCTTCTTCTGACTCAGTGCAGGTATGGGTTGGACGAATGGCATTAAATATAAGCAACCGGCAGGGCGTCAGGCTGATGCTAGGGATTACCCCAAATCCACAAATCCCACCTTTCACGTCGACTAATCGTAGCCCCAGGCGGCAGCCCAGTCAGCCGGATGACTCACAAACCCCACATCTTCTTTGAGGTTCATCTGGGACGTCAGTAAAATCGACATCTCCACTCCTCACCAGTTCCCGCGAGCAAAAATGGAGCTTCACGAGGCGATAATGTTCTTCGACGTGACACTGCTCCTTGCATCCATCTCACCGCATTTGGTGTGCAAGGCTATGCGCTGCGTCCTGCATGGAAGTATGGCAAATCACGGGCATGTCTTTACTGATATTGTCATCATATTTAAGTAGTCTTACAGGCCGATGCCTCCCGTCATTCTGAGTAAATTGTACACACACATATCTGCATTTATGCTGCACCAGGTAATGCAGTGACATATGTGTCGATGGTTTGCAATTGACAACATCTAACTACATTTTCTTCTCTTTGAATCATTGTAGAAATTGCATGTTTATGCTCAATCGTATTATTGGACGCAGAGTACTGCTCGTCTGTGGTCGACTACTGCGTCCTTTCGTCGGCAGTTTCAGCAAAGTCGCATGTCCTCCCTCCTTTGTACTTGGCCTCAGGGATCACAACATCAACCACATGTTTGGTGCCTACGAGGAGGTTCTTTCCATCCAGATCCACTATCTTCGTCAGGGCCTAGGAGCCAACAATATCCTCCTATTTCCCGGTCCATTCGGCTCCATCAGGACTGATTACATGGACTTCCTACAGCGTCTTAACTGAAACGAGTACGTTCCCTGGGGCTGCTTGGCACTCTGTGTTTTGACCAACTGGTGTAGATATAGACGGAGATAGGTGTAGAAAGTCGCACTAGGATACATCATATAGAAGTGGCCCAGTAGCCGACGACTACACTATGTACGCTGTTGGTTCACACTCAAGATTGGGTAGACCAGTTTGGTAAGCGTGAATATTCGTATACAACAGTCATTGTGGTGTCTGCAATGCAGGATGTTGTGACGAAACTAGCAACTCTGCCACTACACACACAGTTATGATCATCAATGGAGGATACGGAAGGGAGACCATCTGTCACGATTATCCATACATGCTCTGGATATGGGACAGAAATCTACTAAATTTATGCTCGAAGGAAGGGTATAATTCGGTTTTAAGAAAGTTCCTAATTGTTGGACTTTTAATATCGTTCAAAACGGAATTGTACCTTTCCCTCGAGCATCAAATTAGAAGAAGGCGTAATTATCTTCCGAATGAGCAGAAGAATGAATACTTTTGTGCATGTTTTCCATTAAATATAATTGGACTATTCGGGGCATCGAAAGTCAATGAGAAAATTTCATGCTAAGTAAGTAGTCATTTTTTACAGAGTGCAGTTTTTGCATGCAGCCGGAAGGAAGTTCATTCGAAAGTCGGCATCCTGAGGTGACTGAACTATCATGTTGCAGACTAACTAGTTTTACAACCCGACTTAATTAATCTTTTCGAAACGAAAAAGCATTTCGAAATTTCCGTTGACATTTCATCAGTTAGTCCACCTACTGTAATTCATGCATGCGTGTAGTCTGGAGAGGTTCTCTCGGACGTCACGTTTTAAAATTTTGCGGACTCGCCCGCCAGTTGTACGCCTGACGGCGACGACGATGACGACGACGACCTAGGGCAATAAGTTTTAAAATATCCGAAACAAAGTTTGTTGTTTCCTCAATTGACTTCTTCAGCATGAACATATACACACGCAAGGACGGAGGAACGTCAACGTCTGTGATGACTGCACGTGGCCTATGAGAACATCTTAGTTTACAGTAGGCGAGATTATCTGGAAACACAACAACCCTTATTGCGCGCACATTTTCGATACAGGTTCGCCAGCTCATTGTCAGACTTATGGGACACACACAAAAACAGTTCACCCTTTAACCCTGTTGAAGAAGTGATTCTGCAGTTGGCTGAAGCTTGCGCCATTCGCGTCAATTGGATTTCTTCATGCCCTCGACACGGGCTATATTGGCTTTCATTTTTCCCTGAGGAATTTGTGAGTGGCATCTCAACCGAGATGCCGATTGATGCAGGGCACAGTTGATTGAATTACTTCCAGGTATTCACGGCGTAGCCATATTGGTAGATGGATGAAAACTATAAGAGTGTTCTCCCATGGGCAAGATGGCCCCCCACTCCTCATCACCGCTAAATGACGTTCATCTATAGGGTTTCAGACAGGTTTCCCAGTTCGGCATCAATAGACGGCATCAAAACTGGCACATGGGATCATGCAGACAACGTCTATTCTTTCAAAGGGAATTAATTTACCCTGGAGAGTTTTACTAGAGAAAGAGGTTGTCACAGTTGAAAAGTGATTTTTTGTCTGATTCTAGCTATGGGAATCCGTTTGCTGTCACAGGCGTTATTTTAGAGAGTCAAGTGTTTTATCGATTGTTAAAGGTCAGATTAGCAGGTCTGTGCGTTTTCGTCCCCTAAAGTGCAGTAATGATGCATAGGGGGAATTGGTTGTTTAAAAGGGCCGACATTGTTTTGTCATTTGGTGAACTCCATGTTTTGACACCAAAACGACTCTCACCGAATAGTCATGTTCAGTTTGGAACATATGAAATATTGATTGTCGCGCGGTCTAGTTTCTGCGCATACGTAATTTAGAAATGGAAGGAGAAAATCATCGGCAAAATATCGGTGTTCTGAGTGATCAAAAGCGTGTGAACAGATAACACAGAGTCTGTGTTTATATGCAATCCATGCAGAACACTGAAAATCTCAAGGTATGCAGCGATGTCTCAAGGCTGATCTAAAATTCAGCGTAATTTACAACAAACAAGACGTCCGAATTAGCTTTACGGAAGGAAAGTCCTGGCAACATGTGCTCTTATGAAAACTTTTATTCCTATGGCCTCCTCGTTGGCGAATTCAAGCGAAATCCTCTTAAAGGAAATTGAAATGTGAAATTAGCTAAAAGACCACTTTCGGACGTTGGTCTTCAAGTACTGCTTAATTTACTCGTTTTCTGTATGAACAGACATTCCGTACATCTAAAACTGGATTTTACACGATTGCAACCATCTTTGAATTTTTCGGAATTTTCTGCTTTTCTTAAAAAAACCATATTTCTAAGCAATCTACCATTATCTTTGATTAATATAGACATAAAGTGCATGCATTGGTGTCGGTAAGCGAGTAATTAGCAGTCACACAAAAACAGACACACACACGACAGTTCGATCGTCGATTTCGACGATGTCCACCGTGTGCCCCACAGCTGCAGCAGCGGTGGGAGCGGGGACAGTGACTTGCGCAGGGGTTTATAGTGCCCACTAGCCGACGACTACAGTACGTAGGCTGTTGATTCACACTCAGGATTGGGTATAGCAGTTTGGTAAGCGTTAACACACAAAATCACCGCCACCGCCACCGTTACAGGACAGGTTAGTATAACGGTCTTCGGCTAGATCGCAATTGGTAGCCAGAACCCCTTTTACAGGTGGCGGGGGTTTGTCTATTGGGGCTATTTTATGGGGCTCCATAATCACATCTGACCCATTTGGCTTCCATTATACGTTTGAGGTTACGAGTGGGGTACCGTTTAATGGTTTCCGATTTTCGGGTTAGGGTTATGCCTTTAGGCTTAGGTTTTCGGGTTACGGTTAGTGTTTGAGAGGACGATTAGGTTTCAGTATTATGGTTAGGTTTTCAAGTTACGGCTATGTCTAAGGGCTACGGTTACGTTTACGATTTCGGTTAAGGTTAGGGTTAGGTTTGACGTTAGGGCTAACGGTTAACGTTTAGGGTTAGGGTTCGTTTTAAGGTTAGGATAAGGGTTAAGGTCGCCGTCTGCTTCCCCACTTCTGGCTACCAATTGCGATCTGGCCGAACCTACATCGGACAGCAGGGTGTCGCAGAGGCGGTGACATGCGCGTGATTTAGTTTATAATAGTGGTAGACATACAATGTATCTACCCCAGTCTCTCCTTCTCATCCACAACCGCCTGGGCTCCTGGTAAGTTCTGGCTATGCAGCCCCACCTGATGGACACAATACTGTTGGGGTTGGGGTTATGGGTTAGGGCAGCTGAATCTCAACCGTTCAGAGTATTTCAATTTCCAATAGCTTTTCTTTTGCACAAATTACTTGACATCTTCGCCCGCGGGTTCGACGGCCGCACCTGCAAAAAAAAATTTACCTACCACCATGTGACTTTACTCCTGTGACTGTGACAACAGTGGAACACCATCTCAAGAAGATTCGCGGGTCAACGGCGGCTGGGCCGGACGGTGTCTCTCCTTTTCTCCTTAAGTCTTGCTGTTTGCAGATAGCTCCCGTCTTGACCCACCTTATTAATCTATCCTTCATAGAGTCCAAGATTCCTGACGCCTGGCGTACAGTACGAATTACTCCAATCCCTAAAAAATCTTTAACTTTTGCTCCTAAATCTTTCCGTCCTATTGCCTGCTCTTCAGCACTCCTGAAACTTACTGAACGAGTTGCATTAGATTCCCTTAAGTACTCCTCTGCCAATTTTTCTGATCCTCTACAATTTGCATACAAGGCAAAGCGTAGCACCGTGGATGCTGTTGCTTTAGTTGTTCATTCAGCTTTGAGAGACTTAGACAAGGGATGCCGTGCATATGCATGTGCTTTTCTCGACTACTCATCCGCCTTCAACACTATCCCGCGCCAACTCCTCCTGACCAAAGCAGCTGCGTGCGACACTCCGAGCTGGGTTGTCTCTTGGCTTAGAGATTATTTTTCCTGCCGCACTCAGTTTGTCCAGTCGGGAAAGAGAAAATCTGCTATTCTTCCAAATGATTGTGGAGTTCTACAAGGTTCCATCTTATCCCCTCATCTTTTCTCCCTACATACTGATGATTTGAGATCGCCAAACGACTGCCTGTATGTTAAGTATGCCGATGACATGGTCGTAGGCCACCCACTCAAAAACCTGACTCACCTACAGTCTTTAAAGGATGGCTTAGACCACGTCTCCGCATGGTCTTCGAATAATGGACTCCTACTCAACAATCAGAAATCAGTGCGGTGTGTGTTTCGATTGCGACCCTCTCCCTTTCCTGAACCTTTGGATATTCTTCCCAATGAGGTGTCTTCTTTCCGGTACCTAGGTGTTACTTTATCCTCAAATCTCTCTTTCTCTCTTCATATGGAAACCCTTTTAACAAAAATTCAAAAACTTGTTTATTA